TATGACGGGTGGGGCCGCCACCGCGCGGGGCCCGGACGCCAGCGAGCGCGGGGGCAGGTGCGGGAATCGGGGCGACGTGTCGGCGTTCCCACCCCATGCGTGCGGCCGTGGACGGAGGGCGTGCACGCCGGGGTTTTTAACCATATTTTTTTCTTTTTTCTTTCCCGTCCGATTCGCTCGTTCACGTGTAATTGCGTTCGCATGTCTCTTAATTGCTAGTAGTTTGCTACAGCAGGAGCACACCATTAAATCCTGCCACTGTATCTTGTTTGCGTAAACACATTTTCCTCCTCTACTTGGCAGCCACTGCTAACCATTAACCTTTTTTTTCTATACATATTACTCGTGTTATATTGTTATACTCCATCCCTTTCAAATTATAAGACATTTCAGTTTTTTATAATTTTAATACTATATATCTAGACATAAATGTATATCTAGATGCATAGCAAGATTTATGTATTTAGAAATGTCAAACGTCTTATAATAATTTGGAATATAGGGAGTATTTTGTATATGCATATTTACAAGTGAGTATGTAGTAAATACAAATCTCCTCACGATATCGTACTATTCCAATCCTTTCGAAACATACGGCATACTAGAATCCAAAGAACTCATAAGTTTTTACCGCCGATTAGTCATATAGCATACATATCTTTCAAAATATACGAATTTCTCTTGTAGCAAATAATAGCATATTTAAGCGCAACTGATGGTCAAAGTATACTTCTAAAGACTTCCCCAAATTCTAATACGATATATAAAAATAATTGGATGGAGTCTTGAACTACGAGAATTGTTGTGCAATACAAGTACATAATAATTTATATTTGTATACATTTATTAATGTTAGCAAATATATTGGTTTGTATCAGTATTGTTGCTATGTCACGACAACCATACCAACTTACCAACAAAACTGATAGGGATGTCTACAAGTCAATAGAGAATACATTGTTTTATAGCTAGCAAGATAACAAGGCGATAAAAAGTATGCACGGAAAAGGGACAATGAGCGGGAGGCTTCACTATGATGGGAGTGGAAAAGGAATGGAATAAGGATCAGGGCTATGTGGCTGAAACTCGCACACACACGTAAATATCTGCAATGAGACGTGTGGGTTGTGCCTAAGAAATTATTTTTTTATAAAAGAATATGCACTAAGCAAAGCGATAATGATGCACCTAATTTACGGTTGTTATCATGTATAGAGGGCCCATAGCTTTTTTATTCCCCTCACTGCTTGATCTATTATAGCTTGAGGTTTTGTTACCATGTAGTGGTAAATTAAGCATGCTAATTCCGTGGTGGTTTATCAATCCTGCAAATCATCATAAAGTCTATTAAACTTCATATGTTGGGTGTACTAATTGTAGTGACCCATGTTAATCTATATTAGTAATAGCAGTGTATAGAGAGGGAGGGAGGGAGGGAGAGAGAGAGAGAGAGAGAGAGAGAGAGATTGAAGGCACAATATACTAATACTCAAGAAGATATAATAATTAGAGTAGTAATATTTTCTTCAAAAAAATATGGGTAGGCTATAAAATTATTGATAAAAAAATCTTTAAAACAGGTATTTTACGAGTATCGGTACACATATTGTTATTTGCATGGCTAACATATTCATGTACATGTAGTCTTTTTTGCAAATAAAATATAATAGAAGACACATCATTTTCATGGATGGTCTCGGGCAACCTTTTCACTTCTGTTGCTTTTGCAACCTTTTGAGTAAATTCAACATCTATCTACCCAGTAAGCCCAACTAAATCAAAAAATATGTTCAAGAATGTTCTTGCCTACATATGTGGATGCATGGGTCGCACCACCAAAGTTCAATTATACATGTGAAACTACGAAGGAATGCAAAATGGATTGGGTTTAATGAGTAATATTCAAAAGTTATTCTAATCTTTGCTAGATGCATATGTTTCTTGTGTTGAGTTTCTTGATACACTAGTTGAATATTGTTTTCTTGCCAATAGTTAAAATTGATAGACTATGACTAACTTCGTAGGCAGTGTCATGCGTAAGAGGCGGATGGTGAGATGCTGATTGTCAACAATGACATTAACATCACTCCTTTTGTTTGTGCGCAAGCAGAAGTGATGTGTTTCTTGATTAGGACATTCTTTTCTGATAATTACAGAACCTTTTCAGCTATATTTCTTATCATGTATGACCGTGAAACATGTTGCACATCATAATATACGAAAGATGTATAAATAATAAATTAATGCTTATGCACTAGCCCTAGCTAGCTAACCTAGTTTGATAAAGAGCATGACATAGTCATGGATATTTTTCAAATATCTTTCCAGTATCACTGGTTATGCACACACATTTTATATATCCGGAATCAAGTGAACAGCTGACAAATAATGTCAAGGAAAATGTCCTTGCATTGCAAATGTTGTTGATGTGGTAACTGATCAGAATGAACATATACCATCTTCTTGGAATATCAATCAATTCCTAGTGACATGCAGCTTAGTTTCGATTCCTGAACTTCCAATCGCTTTACGTCCAAAGCCATCCATCACCTGACCTGAGAGAAAAGAGCACAAACTAATATATATATCTTAATCACCAGTGCAAAGACAAGACTAGCATACAGCATGATGCTACCTTCACTTAGCAGGAAGATTAAGATTTGAATGAAGTAGACCAGTGAATAAATAAATACCCTAGCAAACAAAAGGACATGCATCAAAGACAGTCAATACATGCCCCAGGACCCTGAAGATTGGGCTTTGGAGAGTGAGAGGGCAAAAAGGGGGAAAGCAAAAGGGGCAGAGAGGCAAAGCCATCTCTCTCACATCCATATACAAGTATATGTATAGACTATAGTAGTACAAGTATTGTATTAAAATCCTGACCTAGACAGCTTCCCAAAGGCAAAGGAAAAAAGAGTGAGATAGCAAGGCCTAGACGTGGACGTTTCCTAGTTCTTCTGACACACACACTCAGCAGCTGTGTCAGTCAGGACATGCAGGAGGTCAGTGTACATTGGCCGGCCTTCTGTGATCCATCTCTCACCATATCTATCTCAATTCATGTGCCCTGTGGCCTACGTACACACCTTGTGCCAATATCCCTATCATCTGATCATCTTAATCTCTCTGGAAGATCTCAGAGTAGTACTATGGCCGCTCTCCTGCAACTCCCTGCAACTAATGATGAGGGAGAAAAAAGTATGTCAAATCACGTGGACTTTCAAACTTGAAAACATTGTTTAGTACCTTTCCTATGGAAAACACTCAATTCAATTGGTCCGATAATTTCATTGAAATAATTTCTTGTATGCATGCCACTACTTGTTTATTCTATAAAATATGTCCCATACATATATATAATGTCTTGGTTAACACAAGAGGAAAACATCACAACTTGGGTGTGTGGCTAGCTTTCATTTAGCAAAATCATTGTGCTTGTGGAAAACAAAGAATTCTCTTTTGTTTTTGTACAGTCTTGTGAAATAAAAAAATATGAGGGTGAGGTCACTGTAACCAATTTTCCAGCGAAAAAAGTAGATCTATTTGCAGTCCAATGTAGCTAGGTGTGTCAATTGAGCCTGTAATAACAGGACATAAAGGTCCCCATGCACAGTTGATATTTGAGGGCACAATCACTCCTACTAGTACACACCAGTCCTTTCTGATTGTGTTGTGTGCTCAAATTGGTCACCCAAGGCCAAAACTGTACAGATGGGTCTGCACACCTAAAATGCTTCTGCATTGCTTCGTGAGAGAGAAAGTAAGAGAGGGAGAGAGAGAGAAGGGGGAGAGAAAAATCTTGTAGATAGCTAGAAATCTAGAGAGAAAATAAAAAGGGGAAAGTGGGGGGAAAGTTATGGGGGCTGTGTGAGGATAATATTGGAAGTGGGAGGTGGGTATCCCTCCTCCATTGTCCTTTTTCATCTCTCTCTCTCTCTCTCTCTCTCTAAAAGACTTTGCTAATTGGCCTGCTAGCTGGTCTCCGTCCCCGGCTTCTTTCCCTTTCAGCAGCTGGAGGAGATAGATGAGCGAGGACTGGAGGAAGGAGGAAGGAGAGGGATATATAGGCCGGTGTCTTCTGTAGAGAGAGATCAGAGCAAAAGGGAAATAAAGGAACTCTTGCAGGCACTCAACACTGACATGAGTGATCTCATGCTCTTGATACCTTGGTACTCTTACATCACCCTTCTTCTTCTTCTTCCCTCCTCCCCGGCCCTCTTCCTCGCTCCTCCTGCCTCTTTCTAGCTAGGATCTTCAACAACCCTCTCTCTCTCTAATTCTCTATCCCCCTATAGATAGAATAGAGGAGAGAAAGAGGTGAAGGCAGGCAGCTGATTTTCTTATGTGCAAGAGATAGGACAGCACGTGCCGGAGCTCATGAGCTGCATCAATTCCTGAGGTAACTGACATAGAGAAATAGATAGAGATGAGAGAGATGGTGAGGAGGAAGCTGTGCTGAGTGATGTGTATGTGTGCGTGCTTGTGTTGACATCTGTGCACCCGGCTTCTTTGTTAAATCACTTGATGAAGATGGATGCCTTCCTTTTCCTTTCCTTACTAATATATATTTTTTCTGATACTGATGCCTATTCCACATCTCTCTCATGCTATCTCCTCTTCTTCTAGATATAGCTAGCTAGCTTAGTGTTCTTTCTTTTCCATGCATATATACATGCTGGCATGCTGCACCTCATCTCCTCTCCTCCCTGCTACCTTCACTCTTCATGGATCCAATTTCACTTCTCACTCCACATATTCCTCAAATCATTGCTTTGGTATTCTTTTTTTTTATTTTTTTGTTAGCTTTTGTTTCTTCCGTCGTTCGTTCCTCTGAGGTGCTATGTGTTAATCTCTTGATTCGCGTTCTTCCTCTTGGACTTGCAGGGAAAACCACAAGCTTGTGATCTTGCACTCATCAAGCTATTAGGTGAGGAGAATTTCGTGCACAAGAGCACAAAGCCAAGGTTTTTGGTGCCGTCGTCGACGACCTATTGGCGATGGCGGCGTACTACCACGGCGGCGCCGGCACGGACATCCAGGCCAGCACTGACGGCCTGCAGACGCTGTACCTGATGAACCCGAGCTACGCCGGCTACGCTGACGACGGCGGCGCGTCCACGCCGGGGGCGACTAACATGATGCTCCTCAACTCGGCCGTGACCACCATGACGACGGCGTCCTTCGCGCACCACCACCACCACCAGCAGTCGCCGTCGTCGGCCGCGCAGCAGCAGCAGCACTTCGTCGGCATCCCGCTCCAGGCGCCGCCGTCGGGCTACAACCTGTGGACCCCGGCCACGGCCGCCGTGGACATGTCGTCGCCGCCGCCGCAGGCGCAGACTCCCGGCTGCGCCGCCGCGGCTGGGGTCAGCGCCGTGCTCAGCCTGTCGTCCCGAGAGGCAGCGCCGCCGCCGGTCACGGTGGCCGCGGTGGCCGGCCCTGGCTGCACCGACGAGGGCAAGTACCTGGGCGTGTCGGCCACGTCGCAGGGGCAGATGGTGATGAGCTCCAAGTACCTAAAGGCCGCGCAGGAGCTGCTAGACGAGGTGGTGAGCGTCAGCAAGGGCGTCGAGGACGCCAACAAGACGACCAAGAGCCTGGCGGCGGTGAAGAAGAAGGAGGACTCGGAGGGCGTGTCCGGTGGCGGCACCGATGACGGTTCCGGCGCAAAGAGCGGTGGCGGCGCGGCGGAGATGTCCACCGCGGAGCGGCAGGAGCTGCAGATGAAGAAGAGCAAGCTTATCAACATGCTTGACGAGGTCAGTAGTAGTATATATAAATAGCACAGTTTATGGCTTCAATTCATACTACTAAGATTAATTTCACAAGTTATTTTCCATTTGATGTATTTCTCTCGATCGTGTTCAAAAATAAGATATTTTTAAAAAACCTGTTTTTAATTGCTGTTGATGAGGCCTTGAGGGTCCTTGATTTTTCATGCAAGTTTTTTGTTATGTTGCCTCGAATTTGACAGGGAGATATATTTTGTCATGTTTTTGCTTTTTGCTTGCTTCTACAGTCTAAGACAGTGTCACAGTGTTATGTATTAAAAGGCTAGGAACCATTTGCCTTTCGGTTATCTTTGTTATGCTGTTTCTTTTTCTGAAAGATGAGTGACACAAGTTGTTTGGAACAGTGCATGGCTTTAATTTTAATTTGATGGATATATATCATCAGACTTTTCCCACACTTTAAATCCTTCTCTTAATCAAGCATCCATGCTGTATCAACTTGCTGTAGTAGTATCAATACCAATTATTGTTCCCCTACTTAATTCTGTGATTTCCACCTCGCAGAAAACACTAGTTATTATGTGGTTTAATTATTCCCAGCTTATTACATACTTAGGGATTCTTATTGGTACACCTTATCACCACTTAGGTTCTGTTCTTTTTTTCCTTTTGAAATATCTTAATTTCATTTTAAGCGTAACAACTAAGAGGTTCGGTTCTAATTGTAAAATGAAAGCAATAATATTTTTTTTTGTGTGTGTGGAAGAGAATGAAAACAATATAATCCAAGACAAAGTGTCATATAGAAGGTATAGAGTATATATATGAACATATTTAACTAATAACATAACAAGTGGCAATGAAAACCATATCCTCTACTATCATGTACAACGAAATATATGGCAAGTGGAGGTCTTTCAGCAAACAAAATAATCCTTAAGAGATAAGATTGGATCGTGAATGATTGCGAAAATAAATTAAATTCAACTACTTGCATTCTTTTGGTTGTACTTTGTCCATGCCAGTACAAACAAGCTTCAATTCGTTGCTTCATCAGATGTGTGTCTCTTTTTGTCTGCAATAGCCTGCTTCATGAGTGTACACTGTACTGCCAGCTGTATCTGAATGCGAGTACTACCAAATATCAATTTTATTATTTTATTAAAAGAAAACATAAATTTCACTATCTCGTTAATTTCCCCATGTCTTGTATATATATACATCATTTCTGTGCATGAGTAGACATATCATATCAGGAGGCGTGTAGCAGTTGCGATTGCACCGATCAGCATTGATAGAGTTTGTTGACGAACAGTTGGTTGGATGGGATCATCACTAACGAGCTACTTATAATCAGCTAGTAGACCAGTAGCTTGCTAGTAGTAGCAGTAGCACGCCCTGATTAATGAATTGGAGTGGTCAATGGCTGACTGACACTGTTATGTGCGCATGGTGGCGATCGATGTCGACAACAATCGACAATGGCAGGTGGAGCAGCGGTACCGGCAGTACCACGGGCAGATGCAGGCGGTGTCGTCGTCGTTCGAGGCGGCGGCGGGCGCCGGGTCGGCGCGGACGTACACGGCGCTGGCGCTGCGCACCATCTCGCGGCAGTTCCGGTGCCTGCGGGACGCGATCGCGGCGCAGGTGCGCGCGGCGAGCCGAGCGCTGGGCGAGGACGCTGACGCCGCCGGGGGCCGCACCGTCGGGTCCCGCCTCCGCTACATCGACCACCAGCTCCGGCAGCAGCGCGCGCTGCAGCAGCTCGGCATGATGCAGGGCGGCGCCTGGCGGCCCCAGCGTGGCCTCCCCGAGCGCTCCGTCTCCATCCTCCGCGCCTGGCTCTTCGAGCACTTCCTGCACCCGTGAGTCCCATCTCATCCTCCTCACTGCACAAGCTGCAGTAGCTAGCTAGGTAGCTCATCATGAGCCCTTGTACTCTTCGACCTACTCCATTGCTCTTTGTTTGGCCCTTTGCTTGCTTGCTTTCGTGCCCATGGCGCCATGCATGCAGACTCACACCTCATCGTGGATTGGTCCGCATGGATCCTGTGTCGTCATGCAGATACCCCAAGGATTCGGACAAGGTCATGCTCGCCAAGCAAACCGGGCTCACCAGGAGTCAGGTCAGTAAATAAAACTGTGATGAATAGCATTTGGCTGTGTGTAAATTAACTTTCAAAAAAAATTGTTCTTTGATTTCTGTTAGGTGTCGAACTGGTTCATCAACGCGAGGGTGCGGCTGTGGAAGCCCATGGTGGAGGAGATGTACCTGGAGGAGACCAAGGACCAGGACGGTGGCGGCGGCGGCAATGACGAGGGAAGTCAGGTGGCGGCGGGAGCAAGAGCGGCGACACTGTCGACGGCGTCACGCCGAGGGCGGACGCCATGTCCAAGTCCGCGGTGCGCGTGGGAGGCGGCGGGGCGGCGGAGAGCGCGTCCACCAACAAGGGCATCCATGGCTCCTCCCTGCTCGAGCTCGGCGGCGGCGGCGACCACCAGCAGTCTCACGCGGGGTTCTACGACGACGATGAAGACGACGGCGACGACGCGATGGGGCGGAGGCTCAAGAAGGCGCGCGGGGACGAGCCGGCGCCGGCGTTCCACCACGTGCACGACATGGCCGCGCTGCACGCGCAGGCCGCGGCGGCCGCGAGGCAGCAGCACGAGGAGGTCAGCCACCGGGAGCTGCTCATGCGAAGTTCATGGAGAGCGGCGGCGGCGGTGCTGGCGCGAGCTGGCACCACCACCACCACCACCAGGACGGCGGCGGCGGGTACTCGCTGTTCGCGCCGGGGCCGTACGGGCAGTTCGCCACGGAGCCCGCCGCCTTCGCGTTCGCCGGGAACGGCGGGGTGTCGCTGACGCTCGGCCTCCCGCACGGCGCTGGACGCAGCGCCGCCGAGCAGACCGCGTCGTTCCTCATGGGCAGCACCACGGCCGGCGCCGACAGCGGCAGCCACGGCGGCGCCGGCGGCGGCTACGACATAAACATGCAGAGCACCAAGTCGTTCGCGGCGCAGCTCATGAGGGACTTCGTGGCCTAGCTCGTAGGACACGTAGTATAGCAGTCGTCCGTCCACGCAAATTAATCAATCTCTCCATCGATTAATTAATTTAGAGCTTGTATAGAAATAAAGGGTTGTTCAAGCCTAAATATGCTTGCATGTATAAAGCAGTTAAGCTTGGACTATAGGTTTTGGGAATGTAAAGATGGGATAAATATCATGGGGGCGATGTATATAGGTATAGGATGATAGGTAACTAGTTGATACCCAAGCATTGTACAAGATTTTATATGTAGATCATAGGGATTGGGGGGTATACAGTAAAGTATGTGAAAGGGTATATTGGAACTGGACTTGGAACTTGGAAGTGTATGTGGTAGAAGCTAGCCAACTAGTATTATCTGCAGTAATTCAGTATTTGTTTTGCTTACTGTAAACAGATCACATTCCAACTCATTGGCAGCACCACCATGTGCTGCTGGATGACATTGTGGACAGTGGCGGATGCACGATGCGGGATAAGGGGGGCTAAAACAATGGAGATGCCATGAAGATTTAATGGTGAAATCCGCCCCTGATTGTGGTGAAATCAAGCATTAGGATAGGGCTGAGCCATGGATCCGCCCCTGATTGTGGATAACCATGCTCCAGTAGAATCAAGTGATTTACCTCTGAATGTTGGCAGGCAGCAGCAGCGAGTAACAACTAAAAGGGCAAACCCAGTGCCGGAGGCTCCCACATGAGTGGGGTCTGGGAAAGGGAAAAAACCGAGGCAAGCCTTCCCCGCAAAAATCTGCGGAGAGGCTGTTTTCGAACCCATGACCTGTGTGACTCAAAGGAGACAGCTCTCACCACTCGCACTGGGTCTGCCCTTCAAAGAACGAGTAACAACTAACAACACAATAACCTGATCAGAGCAATGACTCAGAATCTGCTCATATAGTTTTTTTTTTTTTTGTGAAAGATCCGGGATGATTACTTGCTTATTATTAATAAGATGGGAGAAAAGTTACATGCGCAAGGTGCGCCTACAAGCACCAGAACCAGCAGACTGCTGGGTCTGGATGATGACTAAAGTGGATTACTCATTTGTGTACTTTGCAACTTGGAAAACAAAAGCTTCTGCCTCTACCGATTTCCCCAAGTAAGCCTCATCGATGATTTCAGAGAAATTAACCGGAGATTTTTCGTTTCTCTTGAAGATTTTGTCTTTTCTTTGCTTCCAAATGGACCAGACTGTTAAGATTGCCAAGGAGTGTCCTATAATAGCGCCTTCTCCTGATATGTTCAGCAGCCATTCAGCACTTTCAGCTCAGATAGTTTTTCACTAGTCATGCTAACTGAGTCTGATGTGAGGTGACTTACAACAAAGGTGGTATTCCATCTTTTGTTGTGTGAAATAAACCAACCCAAGAATTTCCATTCTAAATAACAGTACAAAAAATCCACTAATAGGCGACCAAACATGGCTAACTAACAAACAAACTAAGATCATACAAACAAAACATTGCCTAATGATCACCCTTGCGTTGTTTTCCTTCTTCCATTTCTGCGATCTTGTCTCATGAAGGATGCCACATTTGCACAGATTCAGATGTCTCGGGAAAGCAGGTGGTGCACTGGCATATTGGTGATGCTAGTCATGGCAGAAGTTAGCTGAGCTCCTGCTCTTAGCACTTGGAAGATGCTTGAGGGTTTGCTCTAGTCTCATTGGATGCGGCCTGTTGCTGGGATGACAGGTTGGCACACCAAACCAAGAGGCATGTTCATGTTGTTAGCGTTCTCTGCCACTCCACTGCCGTCACAATTTGGCTCCAATAAGCGCACAAGTGACAGAAAGATTTCCATTCTGGTTACGTCCCGGTTTGCCTGCACCAACAGCCTCAATCAGTAAGGAAATTGACAAATCAGCAGTAGTATTCATCAGCATCATCTCATTACTTTGGATTTCCATTCGGGTTACTGTTTATTAATTTCGATTTTGAACTGAAAGAATCCTAATTATCAAATTTAGCTGTATTACCTCAACAGTAAATCGTGCCCAGATTTTACTTTTGCGCATTTCCATCACACCCCTCAAGATAGTCAATCCAAGTCCTTTGATGAAATCAGCTATCTCCAAGAAGATTCCTCTATCCTCGCAAAGCATCTGCAGAGGCAACCAAGTCATCACAATTACATGTGGTCTAGGAGAAACATTGTACCATAAGCAATAAGTAGTAGAATAGTCATTACCTCCACAAGCATCTGACGAGGTCGGTCAAGATCCTCAACAATGATTGGACATGTCATAGACTGAGAGCCGACATCGAAAGCCCAGGTTGCTCCACCTTCGAAGTAGTCTTTCCAAAGGGGGGCCATTTTCACTACCAAGTATCTGGTTGAAGAAGACTCTTTGTATTAAGGACATTTTCCAACTATGGAGGATTAAGTAAAATATTTTGAGATTCCCCCTCGTCAGGTAAGCTATATCATCACTATCTTATCTTAGACATATCATAACCCAAAAGGCCAAAACTAAGACTGTAAAGAATGTGCATACCTTAGACTCAGTAGAGTCCTTGAGCTTGTCTGCATTCTTCGTCACACTTTGTAAGAAAAGCATGTGCTTAACTGTCTTCTCCAACAAACCATCAATGCTACACTATTGACATAAATTTGCAATTGTTAGTACACTATCGCCGATAGTTTGTAGATAAGATATATGATTCAAACTCTCAAATTATCATCAGAGAATTCATGCAAGAGCATACCTTTGCTCCATTCGGTACAAGCTCACGCAGCTCTTTAATACGGTCCTGTATCAGTTGCCGGTCCTTAGGTCGTGGCTTAGGACTTTCTCCTTGTCGAGATCTCTTGCGATTTGCCTTGCTTGGCGTATCAAGACCTTTGCTATTAGAAGCTGAAGCACTTTCACATTTCATGTTCTGACCGCTCTCAATCCAAAGACGTATCTGAGATTTGTGCATTCCATTATTTTGGGAAAGACAACCCTCCTCAGATTTATCAAAGAGACATGGCTGTTTAACAAACTGTGCCAATTCGTGCTTAATTAGCATGGAAGGAACGCCGGAGGACTCACATTTCTTCAAGTCTGCTGAACCAAGATGAGATGTGCTAGGAACATCCGTCAATGCAGTCTTGCAAGAAGCACTATCATCAGTACACTGTTTACCACTTGGATTGACATTTGAGATGACAGCATCCAATAGCTGATCAGTATCAGTTAGTGATAAGATACCAGAATAGTGAAGCTCATTGTCAAGTGAACTGAAATGGGGTGAGCTATTGCGATATATTGATGATTCAGGGACATCTCTATCTGAATTCTGAGACTCTGTACCACTCCAGGTGACCAAATCAGCACCAACATTGTGGGAGAACTGATGAAATTCAGAACCAAACATATCAAACAAGTCATTATCTGCAGCAGGCTCCACGAGCAACGAGGAAGCTCTCTCAATGGGCATTCCTGCCTCACATCCATCCCTGTTCTTCATTCTCTGCGTGCTGACATTAGCACTTGGATCACTAAATCTATTAATCTTTTGGTCTTGTCGGACATTGTTTGACCTAATCAATAGATTCTCTTGGTCCATGTTGAAACTGTTAGAAACCTGACCATCAGATTCAGAAGTTCGAACTGAAGGAGTTTGAAATGGCCTACTTTCAGGGTTCTCCATTTTCTTAGCCAATTCAGAAGATTGGGGAACCTTGAACGGAACTAGAGACTGTTTCTGCTGCAATGTTCCTGATGTGTGGTCCAATATTTGACTCGATACACTGGTAGATAAGTTGGCTCTGCTTGCTCTGGCACCTACAGGGAGAAAATCAAAATTCCCAGGACCATTTAAATCATTGGATACCACATATCTTCCATGATGCATATTCATGTTTGTATTTTCACAGACAGAAGAGTCCTGGCGCACAAGGGATTTTAATATGATATCTCTTGCCATTGCCAAATCTGCTGATGAGTGTGCATTATTATTCAACTGTAACTGCCCAATGTTGTTCATCAAGAGTGACTGATTTTTAACTGATGTCAAGCTTGGGGAGGTCAAACTTGAGTTCATTCCAACACTCAGTAAATTTCTTCCAACTTGGCTCTCGCAGAAGGATGCTTGTTGTATAAACCGAAGATCAGGCTCAGCATAGACAATGTGCTCTCTAACAGGGTGACCATTCTGTTGCACAACCTTAAGCAAAGATGCATTCAGCAATGCATGTGGCGGTGTGCTAGTTGACACAGTTGCAGTATCAGGACGTGACTGACCATGCTGACTTGAACCGTTCTTAGATGAAGCAGATACAGCCATGCTTGAACGGTTGTTTAGCTGAGAACACAACTTCTTTGCAAACATCACAAAATTTGTGTTTTCCATAACCTGCCATAAATCAGCTGATTATTTCAACTTTCAAATATTTAGAGAGCAAGCAAGAAAACCCTACTACCAACCATCACAGGGAAGTTGAAACAATGATTTCGAGATCTTTTATGTTCTTCGCAACAATTTCCAGCACTAAGCACAACAAAGGATACAATGTATAGTGGGAAATTTTTATGTGCCAAGGTTTCTAGATGTTCCATCATGAATGAGGATACGAGAGATGTATGTTATGAATTTCACCATGAATTTGCAATGGACATTCCAAAATTTGCAGTAGCAAAGATAGGTTTTCAGATTTGGAGCAGCATGGCCCAAACACATGTCTTGTAGTTTCCATATCCAAAATTTTGAATGACATGTGCTCGTTCAGCAATGCACTATTGTTTTCTTTTCCACCTTCCACAACCTGAGAATTATTTTTCTGGAGCCTAGTGTGATAGTTATATTCTCTACTTCTCTAGCATGACCTAGAGCTTTGTGGCCTTACCAAACCAGTAGAGCCTAATTGTAGGACACCCCGTGGCAGCACAGGAATGATCGCAATAGTCTGCACAGCAAAAGTTCAGAATGAGGTCCAGAAGCACATGGCCACTATATACTTTTTACCATTTCAGTTCTACCCACCTGAATGCCAACCCTGAACTGATT